TTTATTCTCCTTTTACTATTCCGCTTTGACTGATAAGCAGTCCAAGACTTGAATTACTACTTCTGCCTCTCCAGATGACCAGTCTCTCGTTTTGCTCGGCGCATCCTGGATCCAACTTTTAGGAGTCCCCGCATCTCAGAACTACGTGGTAATTTTTGCAATCACTTATGCTGTCATATTGGAGAATTCAGTAGCAATTGCCTTCATGTGATGCGATGGGTAGTCTGCTTGATTCCTACGCACAAATTATGTACAATGCCTCCCATTTTGATGATTATCAGAGGGATGTCACCACAACAGCCGTTTTCATCGACGCAAGCTACGTGTGCGCGCCAGACTACGAGACGCAGTTCGGCGGCGCCCGTGTTGCTTGCAACGATCGGCGTCCCGATTTCATCGTTGCCGCATCGCCGACACGCAGCACTGTGGGCGATTTTCTCTTCATGCTGGTGCGCCAACGTGTCAAACTCTTGGTCATGCTGGATGGGTGAGTTCATTCTTCCGCCTTCATGTAGCAGTGTTTACCTGATCGACGAGTTGCCCAAAGTTAGTAGTTAAAACCCTCTTTTGTGATAACGAGCTAACGACGTCTACAATTTGAACAAACTGGAAACGGGCTTGAAAAAAATGGCGTTTTGCTTTGAGTGAAAGTCAAACTGATGGAGGAATGAGGCAATGAGAATATCCTTTACGGTAAGTTAATGTAAACTCCTCAAAAGCTGATGCGACGTTGAAGCAGAAAACTTCAGGCAATGTCTACTTTGCCTAAAGTGCCAAGTGGATAAGAAGCTGTTCTTCTTGACTCAGCATAACGACTGGCAAATCACACTAGGCAATTTAGCAGGTTCTTGGTATTTCTTATCCATTGCCATTGCGAATGTGGGTAGATTGATTGACTAAATGGGAAGTTTATGGTTTGGCCCAGCTTGCAAACGGCCAATGAAAGAGCTGCAACGCCGATGGTGGTGGAGGATGAAGAGGAGGGCTACGTAGCAACAGTTCCCCATTGGCCAGTAGGAGGCACTGATGGCGGCGATAAGGCTGTGGATTTGGAGAACTTCTTTTCGACATATCACGCCTGTCAGGTGGTGCGACATGCTGAGAAGTACACTCATGACTGCTGTTGTCGAACGCTCTTTGTCACTCCCGTTGATGGGATGCAGGTGTGTTTGCAAAAGGGTGACCATGTGGACGTTCGTCCACCTCCCCTCAGCCTGTAGGCATTCAGGCATCCACATTAGGCACAGAAATTTATTCATTAATCCATCAGCTAGATAACCTTCTTGTTAAGATGCAACTTCACCATGGTACAATGAAGAACCCATAGTTAATG